CTGAGGACAGACGTTCCATTGTCACCCTTTTATTCTGCTGGGACATCAATTTCCCCATCCACAAGAAGGACCCATGAAAAAGATGCCCCTACGGATTCCTTCAGCTCAGGCATTGTGGCTACGAGTTTCCGTGTCTCCTGGGACAAAAGCATCCAGGTCGGATGTGGGGTCCCTGGAAGATTGGTCCTGTGGCCTACCTGCTGGGCAACCTGGGACAAGTTCCTTAACCTCTCTGTGCCTCAGCTTCTCCCTTGACAACTGATTCCTTTTCTTTTTTTTGGAGGCAAGAGGAGAGAGGGATCCTTTGTACCGGGGTCTCAAACTCAAATACTCACAAGCGGCAAGCAAGGGGCTGTTAAGGTTTCGGGGTGCAACAGGGAAACGTAGAGCCAGGCCCCTCTCCAGAGGACAGCGTGACTCAGCTCCAGCCCGTGGGAACGTGGCCCCCCACTTTGAGGCCGTCTTTGGTCTGGAATGATCGGCAAGGCTGACAAGCCTGAGAGCTCGGCTATGCTGCGTTGGGCGTCAGCGGACGTGGGCCCCAAATTCCAGCGAGGTTGTTGTCCACTGGTTGGGCTGGGTGCTGGGCTCCTGAGCCCCAGTTCTGCCCCCATTTGGTGGCTCTGAGTCTCCATGTTTTGGAAAGTGATGACGCAGAGGCCAGGGCTAAACCTGCCTGCCGGGAGGCCGGATCGCAGGTGTCAGCCGCCCCTCTCTCCCCGCCAACTCCCTTGCCCTGGGGACAGAGAGCCAGCTGCTGGCGAGGATGGTGTAATGAAGTTTAATGAATAACCCAGGGCACTGGCCAGGCTGGGTGTTTGGCGGCCCGAGGTGTCAGGGACAGGGGCTGGGTGACGAACATGGCTCTGGGGGGGACAGGTCAGTGACCTGGCCCACCTCTCCAGCCTCCTCTGCCCTCTGGTGCAGCCACCGCGGCTTCCCCACCCCTGCCTCTTCCTCACCCAAGCCAGGGACTCTGCAGCCCGGCCCCTCTGGGTCTGAGCCCTGACTCTGCCGCTGCTATGTGGCCTTGGGAAAGTGACTTGGCCTCTCTGAGCCCGCGTCCACAGTGCAGGGTTCATTATCATACCCACTTTTCCAGGAATTTGTAAGCATTCTGCGATATAATGACGTCATGTCACTTTGAACATTCACGTGCCACGTTTGCAAGTTTTTTGCCATATTGTTCTGTCATCTCTTTTATATTTAATAATAATAAGAAGAACAATAATAGTGGCAACAGCAGCAAACACAGTTCTGATGTTTTGCACACATTAACTCATTTGATCCTTACATCGGCTCTACTAAGGAGGTAGTATTTTATCCCCACCATACAGTGGAGGGAACAATGCACAGAGAGGTTAAGTGAGTTATTCAAGGCCACACAGCCAAAGAGTGGCAGAGCTAGTATTTGTATCAAAGCCCAGCTCTGGGGTCTGTGTTTTAACTACTAGGCATTCTGCCTCTCTGTGCCAGAACTGCTACTGCTACTATTACTACTACTGCCTAATATTTGTCTTTAAAGAGACTCTATTTAAAACTTTAATACCTGCCTTAGCTTTTTCTGAAGCCATAGTATCCATGAAATTATGGATTTGGTATTTTATATACATACACATGCATATACATATCTATGTTCATATACTTCCTCATGCAACAGAAATAAATACCAACTATTAAAAAACCTTTGGGATATGCTGGCCAGTATAAATGGGCTGACATACAGTAGGCATGCATTAAATGCAGCTGTTGTGCTTCTTGTCTGAGCCTAAGCTGTGTGCGAAGGCCCCACCTCCTCCGGGAAGCCCTCCCTGATCCCACCCTGCTCCCAGCTGCCTTATAGGGACCTTCTGCCTCCGTCCTCACAGGGGGTGTTAGAGTTGTCACTGGAGTGGGTGTTTTCTTCTCCCCTTCAAGTTGGGGGCCACCCTCAGGCATGAACTGGGTTTTATCACCTCTGGGTCCCCAGTGCCTAGTCTGGGACGGGGCCCCTGACACCGGGTGTGTGTTTAATGTGAGGATGGGGATAAACTTGCCATGGTCCTCTTCGGTGATCAGCCAAGCAGGTCGACTTAACCCCAAGTGGCCGGGAGTTAATCATCAAACCTGGGGAGATCCCACATGGTCCAAGAAGGACACAGAATGTCTGGACTGCCAGGTCTTCCTGGACCTCACTTCTCATTTTACAAATAGGGAAACTGAGGTCCAGAGACAGGAATGATTGGCTTAGTTTCACCCAGTGAGCTGGTGAAAAAACAAGTCATTCCTCTGATCACATCATTCCCCTACCTAAAGCCTTCTGTGGCTCCCTAGTGCCCCCGGGTAAGGTTCAAGCTCTGGACTGGCACAGGCACCCGTGTAAACTCTGGACCCAGCCTGCTTCTCCAGCCCCAAACCCGCTTGGTGCCCCACCCCTGCCTTCTCTCTGCCTGTCCCACTGGTTGCTTCCCTGACCCTGGAGCACATCATGTTGTCCAATTCCAGACCTTTGCACGCCTCGTGCTTGATTCCTGGCTCAGCTCGGGCTGCCCCCTCCAGGCAGCCTTCCCAGCCCCGCCCCGCCCCCCAGCTGCCAGCCTCTGATAGCACCCAGCATAATTGCCCTTTGCCACCCCCGAGGGCAGGGGACATGCCATCTGGTGTGAGACTAAAGGTCCCAGGAGGGGCCGGCACAGAGTAGGTGTCCAATGCATACATATTGATTTGTTCACAAGGGCAGAAATTAAATTAAAAAAATATTTATTGAATGCATGAATAGTTATTCGTTGGAACAGTAAATAATCGTTGGGCATAAAATATCAGAGGTGGAGGGGTGCTTCAGAAAAAAAAATCTGCCTTTCTCACGTGACAAATAATCATCGTTTCCTCGTCCTTGTTTTTTTTTTTCATCGCAGACCCACGCTGCCCCCCACAGTGGCTTGGGGAAGCAGCTTGGCGCGGGGGACAAGTGCTCCCCTCCCTGAGCCTCAGTTTCCTCATCTGTCAAATGGGACGAGGTGCTGCATGAGTCGCGGGCGGCGAGGGTCGATCCCCCCAGCTTCTCGCCTGCCGCCTGGTCTTCGCCCTGAGGGCGGGGCGCGGTCCCTTTAACTCGGGGGCCGGGCGAGGCCGGGCGGCCGCACGCACCTGTGCCCAGGCGGCCGGCGGGGCTGTCGCAGCGCAGTAAGGGTCCCGTCGCTGCGGGTCTGCGAGCGCGGGTCTGCGGCGGCCGAGTGGGCCGGGGCGGGGGCGGGGGGCTGCTCCGGGCCCTGCGGGGACGCGGGCTCAGCTCGGGACCCTGGGGGCGGGCGGCGGGCGGGGGCCCTGCCGGGCAGGTGGGGTGGGGTGGGGCTGGCACTCTGCCGGGCAGGGGCTGGCCCTGGCACCGAAGGGTCCGGCTGCGAGGTGCCACCCCGCCGACCTCTGGGGAAAGGCCTCGGGGACAGGGGACAGGGGACAGGGGCTGGGTAGGTGGTCCCCACCCCGACTCAGGTGCGACAGGTGAGGCCCGGTGAGGACGAGCGACTAGGCTGGAGCCCGAGCCCCCGTGCTTCCCGCCGCGCTGTCCCCAGGGCAGTCCCAGGCCGAGCGTCCGCCGCTGCCGC